CAGTGGAACTGTTGCTGGCCGAAGAGCTGTGTTCCAAGGACGAGTTGTTGTCGCTCTTTAGGGTGTCTCTTCGATTCTGATCTGTCAGTGGTCCACATTATAATTGGTTTCAGGTCCCTGCATTGAGACTTGGTCCCTACTTTGGGAATATTAGCCAAATGTGGTCCCTGTTTTGGGACAAGCCCGACGTGAAACCACGTTTAAGGCCGACACACGTACTGGCAAATGTTTCGCCGGGGCGGGTTGGTCGAGTTTAAAGACAACCCGTGTGGAGCTAGGTAAGGCAAGGCGGTCCATATGCGGCCAGTTGCAATCCCGAACTCTGAGCAATTTCGTTGGGCTTGAAGTGGAGCCGATATACTCCTCCGTGAATTCTATGACGCTAATCTGACCGACAGTTTCGACTGAATTACGCCATGGACTGACAGCCAACTTTCAATCCAACGTTGATCTAGGACTGTGATAAATCATTCCGCGTCGTCAGACGGTCGAAATCGGCAATAATTAGTGGCACATGAGAAACTTGGCGGGCAAATGCCATGCAACCATGTGAAGCCCGACGGGATCACGTACGCCGGACTACAAACGACTTCATGCAGATGGCGTTGAATAACTCCGATGGTCATAACCACTGGAAGAAGCGAGTCGCCACGAGTTTCATCAGAGTTATGGAATCCGCCGCTCTTGTCTTGCAGAAAATCATCTCCAGGAGATTTCGAGCATTGTAATACCCCCCCCCCCCCCCCTAGCCATATCGGGGTCTAGTTGGTAGTTGAGGGTACTTTGAGTAGCCACCCACACGACAACACAGCACCGATACACTTTGGCCGGGTTGTAGCCCAGCGGACACCGGAGATTTTCCTCAAAGAAGTCAATCAGATTGCGGTGCTTCGGACCCAAGTCATGTCTCACTGCAACATTTGAGTCACCCTACTGTAGACTGTCCAAAGGTATAACACGGCTGGTGAGTCGTATACATAATATACGGCCAGTGTAGTCCACCTTGCGAATGCCACTCGTCGGTTCATCAAGAGAGATCGATAAGCTTCGCGCCGATCGTGCTTCTTCTGTTCCACGGAGCTGCCGCAGATGATCTGGGCGACTATGTCTGCGAGGTGGAGCAATTTAGTCGCCTCGCTCTCCAGGTTGTACTCCGTGGTGACCGGGATCGAGGCGTCGCGACAGGAATAAGCTGAAAGTCATAGCCTCACGGATGGTAGCAGCTTCCGAGCGCAAGTCCATTTGCTGGCTTCGTAGCCATTCAGTATATTACTACGCGCCATTTTTCCACCAGTCTTTTATCCAGCAACCCACTAACGTCACCTTTCCGGCACGTGAAGAGCCCCGTCAGAGCAATAATTGACACTGCGTATCCGTTGATGCCCTTTAACAATCCAAGCGACTGCTTTAAATCCGTATGATCTGGAACCCAGTCATGTAAATCCTGGAATGCCTTCGTCACCAACTTGAATATTTTATCTTAATCCTCAACAGGTACACGTAGATCGACGGCGACGTTGTCTTCGACCATTGTGTTGGAACCTCAATCAATACAAAAGGGATCATCTTTGACAGTCTTGACGGAAATACCCGCATTCTCAGCGATTTCGTAGGTAACGAATTCGAGATCAAGTTGAGACAGGAACATGGACACCACGTAGATCGCGATAAATGATGCCGTGCTCGACTCACTCCTTCTGGGTGTCGTAATCGAAGATAAGGAGTATTCACTCACTGTGTGACCGTTGTGTTGCGCGCCATAGTCCACTCCGTTGTAGACACACCCGTTTAGTTTACTGGATCAATAATACTGGTTGATGGTCAGGGGTAATCTGGAATTTGGCTTCGAATTACGCCAAAACCAGCGAAAATGATGAACACAAGGCAGACGGGCTCTCCTGTAATATCAGCCCGCTTTCTGAAATGTTTTAGATTAAGAAATAAGAAAAAAAACAGAACTGAATTACTCGTTTCTGATAATGGCAACAACGAGCGCTCCCATGTACTTGGCCACACATTAGTTTTGGTGGGAAGAACCACGATCGCCACATATACTCATCCAGGTACTCGTCAAGTCGCTTCTTAGTCATGCCGCGCATGGACTTGATGTGCCTCTTGATTCGGGTCTCCCACAGCCCCTCAATAGTGTTCGTGTGGGTTCCAGTGATGGGGTCCACGAAATTAAGGCTGTGGTTGACCCAGCTGTGAGTATATTCCATGTTCAGCAGCATTCTGTTAGTTTCCAGCGTATGCAGTTTATTCCCACGCTCACACACGTAAGTAGCGAACATGTCGGACATAATTTTGGTTCTACAAAAAATACAAATTCGTAATTTAAATTTGAAATTACCAGGAATTGTACAAATGAAATAAAAAAACTTACCGAGGTTTAATAAACTGTTTGATTATTGGGAGAAGCGTGTCTTTCGTGCGCTTGTCGTAGACGACTCGGCCAAACCAACGGCCTGTAACTCGCTCAACACCTCCAAATAACCAGAACTCTTGGTAATGCTTACCACGATTGTACTTGCGCTTCTTGGCCAGACTGGTCTCATCAATCTCAACGATATGTCCGTCGCCTCCAATCTACAACATAGAAGCAACTTTAAGCAACTTTAACATGGTACTGCAACATTGAGCAACATAACGCATTCTTTACCTTGAATTCTGCCTTGAGAAGCTCTTTCGAACAGGTGGATCGACAGAACGCGTACCAAGTGTGCACAGTTCTCGCGCAGACATCGGCCAGCTTACCTGCCTGGTCATGGGGAAGCTGCATGCACCATGCTAGCAGTAGACGCACAGCTCGGTGAAGTCCCACCTTGGCTTCACTGAAGAAGGAGCTGGACAGCATGCTCCGAGTAACCTCTTTGCCTTCTTTGTGGTTGGTGCGGCGGTAGCAGCGCCAGCGTAGCCTCTTGAGTGAGGGTTTCATCGGGCCGTTGCACTGGGGGCACAGCTTAATCTTGTCTATAAGCTCTACCTCCATGCACCACCGCGCGCACGTCTCCTCGTCGCACGTCACCTCCATCACCTTGGTAACGGCGAATAGAGTTTTGTCTGAGAGATGGTACTGGTAGGGCGACGGTGACTGGACGGCGGCCATGGTGGTCTTCAATTTGGTGGGAGTTGTGGCTGGGAGCTTGTGTGCTTGATGAAGCGAATTTGTTTGTGACTATGTTTGAGGCTGTGCGGAGCGGGCGTGTTTTTCATTCACATACAAATATTAAGTAGTATATTTTGTAGCGCGCGTCGATTTTCGCGCCAAAAGCGGGCTCATTATGCAAGTTGGACACCACATCACCCCTACATAAATTGTGTTTTACAAATTCTTTTTCGTATTTCTTAATTTAAAACATTTCAGAAAGCGGGCTGATATTACAGGAGAGCCGGCAGACGCCATGCTCGTAGGGATCACGACGTTCGCATTAAGTAAACTCCAGTGAGGAAAGCAGAACCGCATACCCGTGGACCATGGGAGCTCGCCAAAAAGACCACAACCTTGAAAATGACAAATAAGCTCGCCCCGTCGAGATTTAACACACGATGGGACCAAAGATAGTGGTCTCAGCCAGCGCCAAGGGGGTCTGGGTCCATGATGCTAGTCCAATGCATGTAGCACATCCGCGGCCGACTAAAACATACCACTAACTCATTCGTACTACGAAGCTGTTTGGTTGGAACAAACACCTCGTCGAGATGCTGTTGCTTTGAACCCAGATCCAACAAATAGTCGGCAATATCGCGCTGAGGCGGACACGAGAAGCCAAGAGACTCGAAGTACTCCTCCACCTTTAATACCTACTATATGCTACGAAAATTCAGGCTCAGTCAAGAGTATTTGGAGCCCGCGCTAAAAAGTTGTCGTTTGCTGGCCGACGAGTCGAAAGATGATCGTATCTTTCACCCACGGGTACACCTTAATGATGACAATGCTGGTGCAAGGCAGTTCGACGTCAAAGTCACCATTGGTAGTTTTGGACAAAGCGCGCTTACCTACGAATAGATATTTCCTTCAGTAATGAAAGAGACGCTCCTTGAATCTACCTAACAGCTCGACGTTTGAAAATGCAAGCTAGGATGACCACTTTCTTTCGAGCAATCCAGAAAGAATCGCTGCTTCTTATATGGTACATGGTAGTGTACTTACATCGGTCGATTCCCGAGCATCATCAATGCATAGCTCCCTTGCACGGTGACGTCTTCCCCTTGGGCCAAATGCACAAACAGAGGTACCGGATATAGTAGTGCAGTAGCGAGGGCAGCAGCTAAAATCTAGCATAAACAACGCGTACGTACTGTATTGCACTTTCGTAACAACAGCACTGCAACGTACCCATCACAGTTCGTAAATTATGGACGAACGATTGTTTTTAACCGCCACAAAGCATCACATGCACATGCATGGTGCTGCCAGCTACTAGGCACTATCGATCGAAGACCCAGGCATGCTACAGTATGCACTACATTACTACTTAAGTACTTATGCAGAACGTCGAGGCTTCGTTTATGTCAATGCGAGGACTGGAGTCGTTTCATGCCCCGTTTCATTCACTTGCTCGAACGTTCAGACCCGATTTCGCCTCAATTTCGTTATCGTTTATGCTAATCATCCGAAAAGAGCAAAGCAAGTCCATTTCGATGTCAATTGTCCATGTTGTTGATGCTCCAAAACGTACATCGGCAACAAGATTGTGCCAAACCAGTGCGGGATTCACGCCGATCTAATGCTGCACCACGTATTGCTGCCAAACCAACCATGCTGTCATTCTCGATTTTGACTCGACCCAGCCACCTCAACGACAGAAACAGGCATGGCTAAGCGGTTCGGCCTCGAATCGGGTGCTGCCCTCATGGCCGAGGGCTCAGAAGTACTGAACAACCACATCGTGAGCAAGATGGAGGTGGCACTGGGCAGAGAACTGCCGCAAATGGACGTGCGCTTCAAGAACCTTTCGCTCTCAGCTGATATCGTCGTGGTCGACGACGACGGCTCCAAGTACGAACTCCCGACACTACCTAACACCGTCAAGAAAGCCTTTGTTGGACCCAAGAAGAGAACAGTACGCAAGGAGATCCTCAAAAACATCAGTGGCGTCTTTCAACCGGGCAAACTCACGTTGCTACTGGGTCAGCCTGGGTCGGGTAAATCCGCTCTCATGAAGGTTCTCAGTGGCCGGTTCCCCATGGCCAAGAACATCACACTTGAAGGTGACGTCACCTTTAACAGTGTCAAGCGTGAGCGAATCCTCAAGACGCTGCCTCAATTCGCTGCCTACGTGAACCAGCGTGACAAGCACTTCCCCACTCTGACCGTCAAGGAGACGCTGCAGTTCGCCCACACCTTCTGTGGTGGCGAAATGGCACGTCGTGGCGAGGAGCTGCTCTCCAAAGGTTCACAGCAGCAGAACCTCGAAGCGCTTGAGCTAGCCAAGTCCGTGTTCGACAACTTTCCCGAGATTATTCTCCAACAACTCGGACTTAAGATATGCCAGGATACGATCGTCGGTGACGCCATGATGCGCGGTATCTCTGGTGGTGAACGTAAGCGCGTCACCACTGGAGAGATGGAGTTCGGTATGAAGTACGCGTCCTTCATGGACGAGATCAGTACGGGTCTCGACAGTGCGGCTACCTTCGACATCATTACTACGCAACGTAGTATCGCTCACCGTCTTCATAAGAACATTGTGATCGCGCTACTGCAGCCGTCGCCCGAAGTCTTCGCTCTCTTCGACGACGTCATGATCTTGAACGACGGTGAACTCATGTACCACGGTCCTTGCGACCGAGTACAGGGCTACTTCGACGGTCTGGGCTTCGCCTGTCCCGTCGGCCGTGACATTGCCGACTACCTACTTGACCTGGGAACGCAGGAGCAGTACCGGTACCAGACACGGGAGGCCCCGCGTGGCAAACACCCACGTTCTCCTAAGGAGTTCTCTGAGGTCTTTAAGCAGTCTGACATCCACATGGACATGCTCAATGCACTGGACGCTCCTCATGAGCCGAAACTACTTGCAACTATCGAGAAACACATGAACCCAACTCCGGAATTCCACCAGGGTTTCCTCGAGAGTACGATGACGCTATTCCGTCGCCAACTCATGATCACCTACCGTAACAAACCGTTCGTCTTCGGTCGATTGCTGATGATTGGCATTATGGGTCTGCTCTACTGCTCGACGTTCTACAAGTTCGATCCTACCCAAGTGTCGGTGGTCATGGGTGTGATCTTCTCGTCCATTATGTTCCTGTCCATGGGACAGTCGTCTCAGGTCCCAACGTATCTAGCAGAACGTGACATCTTCTACAAGCAACGCGGTGCTAATTTCTACCGAACGGCGTCCTATGTGCTGGCCCAATCGGTCGGCCAGATCCCGCTGGCTATTGCTGAGACCCTTATTTTCGGGTCGCTGGTGTACTGGATCTGTAGCTTTGAAGCTGATTTATGGCGGTTCGTCATCTTCCTCGTTATCCTGTTAGTCATGAACCTGGCGATGGGCATGTGGTTCTTCTTCCTGTCAGCTGTATGTCCTAATGGCAACATCGCGTCTCCAGTGAGCCAGGTCTCCATCTTGGTTATGGTTATCTTCGCTGGTTTCATCGTCACTGCCGGTACCATTCCTGACTGGTTGATCTGGTTGCACTGGATCAGTCCCATGTCGTGGGCTCTGCGTGCTCTGTCGATCAACCAGTACCGAGCGGACAGCTTCAATGTGTGTGTGTACGGCGGGGTTGACTACTGTACCGAGTACAACGGGCTGACCATGGGCGAGTACTATCTGCAGATGTTCGACATCCAGACGGACACGGCGTGGGTGGCGTACGGCGTCATCTACGCGTGTGCAGTGTACGTGGTGTTCTTGCTGCTGTCGTTTCTTGCACTAGAGTACATTCGCTACGAAACCCCTGAGAACGTGGACGTGTCGGAAGGCCAAGCGGACGATGACACGTACGCGTTGCTGGAGACACCGAAGAACTCGACCAAGAAACCCTCGGATGAAGACGTCGTTCTTGAGCTTCCGCGTCACGAGAAGAACTTTGTGCCTGTGACGGTGGCCTTCCAGGATCTCCACTACTTTGTGCCCAACCCCAAGAATCCCAAGGAACAGCTCGAGCTCTTGAAGGGTATCGACGGATATGCCTTGCCTGGATCGATGACGGCTCTCATGGGCTCATCGGGTGCGGGTAAGACGACGTTGATGGACGTGATTGCTGCTCGTAAAACAGGCGGCAAGATCACCGGTAAGATCCTGCTGAATGGCTACGAAGCCAGCGACCTCGCTATCCGTCGTTGCACGGGCTACTGCGAGCAGATGGACGTACACTCGGAGGCTGCTACCATTCGTGAGGCCCTCACGTTCAGTTCGTTCCTACGTCAGGACGCCTCAATCTCGGATGCTAAGAAAATCGACTCGGTGAATGAATGTATCGAGCTGCTCGGTCTGGAAGATATCGCCGACCAGATCATCCGTGGCAGCTCCGTGGAACAGATGAAGCGCCTGACGATCGGTGTGGAGCTTGCTGCTCAACCGAGTGTGCTGTTCCTGGACGAACCGACGAGTGGGTTGGACGCTCGCTCTGCTAAGTTGATCATGGATGGCGTCCGCAAAGTGGCCGACTCTGGCCGTACCATTATCTGTACGATCCACCAGCCGTCATCCGAAGTGTTCTACCTGTTCGACAGCCTATTGTTGCTGAAGCGTGGTGGTGAGACGGTGTTCTACGGTAACCTGGGCGAAAACTGCCGCAACTTGATTGACTACTTTGAGAACATCGCGGGTGTGTCTCCACTACCGGTGGGTTACAACCCGGCCACATGGATGCTCGAGTGTATTGGTGCAGGTGTGAGCAACTCGGCCGCCGACAACATGGACTTTGTGAGTTACTTCAAGAACAGCCCGTTGTGTGTAAAGCTTCAGGCAGATTTGGCCAAGGAAGGCGTGACGACCCCGTCGCCCGAGTATCCGGAGCTGGTGTTCGGAAAGAAACGTGCGGCCAGCTCGGTCACACAGATGAAGTTTTTGGTCCAGCGCTTCTACGACATGTACTGGCGCACACCCTCGTACAACTTAACGCGTCTGGTGATTTCAGTGTTCCTCTCGCTGCTGTTCGGTGTCATCTTCGTCGGAGTGGACTACGCGTCGTACACGGGCTTGAACTCAGGCGTCGGTATGGTCTTCATGGCCTCACTCTTCAACTCGATGGTCTCGTTCCAGAGCGTTCTACCTTTGGCTTCAGAGGAGCGTGCGTCGTTCTACCGTGAACGCGCGTCGCAGACGTACAACGCCTTCTGGTACTTCATCGGCTCCACGCTGGTTGAGATCCCGTACTGCTTCCTTAGTGCGTTGATCTTCACCGTCATCTATTACCCCATGGTCGGTTTCTCGGGTTTCGCCAACGGTGTTCTCTTCTGGATCAACCTGTCGCTGTTGATCACGATGCAAACGTACTTCGGTCAGTTTTTCTCTTACGCGCTGCCCAGTGAAGAGGTGGCAGCTATCATCGGTGTGCTGGTGAACTCGATCTGTTTCTTGTTCATGGGCTTCAGTCCCCCGGCGTACGCTATCCCGTCCGGTTACGAGTGGTTTTACACGATCTGTCCGCACCGATTCGCGCTCTCGAACCTCGTAAGTCTTGTCTTCGGACAGTGTTCGGACATGCCGACGTGGGACGAAGCTACGCAGTCATACATGAACGTCGGGTCGGAACTTGGATGCCAGCCCATGGCCAACTCGCCGGTCACCGTGGGCCACATCACGGTCAAGGAGTACGCGGAACAGTACTTCGGCATGGACTACAGTGACCACTGGAGGAACTTTGGCATCGTCATCGCATGGATTATCGGCTTCCGTCTCTTGGGTCTGCTGTCGCTGCGTTACATCAACCACCAGAAGAGGTAGAGGAATCGCAAGTTTCCGTTCCTTTGCAGACAGGAGAAAACACGATACTACATGTACTACAAACGTTGAATAATGTCATTTTATCTGCGCTCCGCACAAAATGTAAGGTCTCTATTATACATATGCATGCTTTACTGGCCAAAATGTTGATGATGGCATTACAATATCCAGTGTTAGAGAGATGTCTCGCATGTGCCAGTAATCGGAAACACACAGGTCACGATCGTATGACGTGGTGTGTAGTGGTTTTGCTAGACATTTCCCCCAGATGGAAATGACAACGATTTTGCTCTTGAGAATGAAGTTACGCTCTTGCCTTGTAAGAATTCGTCCGGTAAAGACACTTTACTAACCAGCAGTACTGGTCCAGCACAGGTCCACGAGTAGTACACATGTTGACATGGGCCCGATATCAGCAACTAATAAAAGCTTTACCATTATGCTCAATTAGCGATGTCACTATTAATACTCGAGTGTTTAACATCGGTGCTCGCATCTCGAGAGTGTAGTCAGTTGGTTATGCCCTGCGGGTCTTATCGCTGTCAAATTGCCAAGCAGCGCGCCATCATCGACTTGTCGACGCCAACGTTTTGGTGGATCCATCTCATCGCCGATTTGTTGCTGTCCTTGAAGTAATCTAGCTATCTCGGCCAATCGCTGAGCCTGAAAGCCGATTACTATGGATCGCTGCGGTTTTGGGTAGAGCTCTAATCGATGTAGCAGTTGCACCAGAATGAGCAGGAGAGCTATAGATGAGCATGACCTTCACTTTTAACATCAAGTACTAGTACTGTAGCGTATTGTAGCAGCCATTCGAGTTGATGCGCAGCTTTCGGTTGATGCCCCCGTTTCCGGTTGATGCCTTGTCAAGTTTGTCGTCATCTCTTCATTAACTTCAGTCTTCATTCTCGAATTTCCTGAGCAGCTACCAAGCCGACCAAGGAACGACCAGAAACAATGGAAACCTCTATCCCGGTATCTCCGGCCACCCGCAAGCGGCTTGGGTACGAGTCCGGTGCGGCTTTGATGGCCGAAGGTCCTCAGGTCTTGCACGACCACATGGCCTCCAAGATCACCAAAGCTCTAGGCACGGCCATGCCGCAGATGGAAGTGCGTTTCAGCAACCTGTCGGTCACGGCGGACGTGGTTGTGGTAGACGACGACTCCAAATACGAACTACCAACTATCCCCAACACGTTGAAGAAAACGTTCATCAGTCCCAAGAAGCGCGTAGTCCGTAAGGAGATCCTAAAGGATGTCAGCGGCGTGTTCTCACCTGGCAAGATCACGCTGTTGCTGGGCCAACCCGGTTCGGGCAAGTCGGCTCTGTTGAAGATGCTGAGTGCGCGGTTCCCGATGACCAAGAACATTACGGTGGAGGGCAACATCTCGTTCAACAACGTCGACCGTGAGCAGATCATCAAGACGCTACCGCAGTTTGTAGCGTACGTGAACCAGCGCGACAAGCACTACCCGGTACTGACGGTCAAGGAAACGCTTCTGTACGCGCACCAGTTCTGCGGCGCAGAGCTGTCCGAGCACGGCAAAAAGATGCTGACGCAGGGTACCCCGGAGGAGAACGCTGAGGCTCTGAGAGCCGCGAACGCCCTGTTTGCCCACTACCCCGAGGTGATCATTCAACAGTTAGGGCTCCAGAACTGTCAGGACACTATTGTCGGCGATGCTATGACACGCGGTGTGTCTGGCGGTGAACGCAAGCGTGTGACGACCGGAGAGATGGAGTTCGGCACCAAATACGTGACGCTCATGGACGAGATCAGTACGGGTCTCGACAGTGCAGCCACGTACGATATCATTAACACGCAGCGAAGTGTGGCCCACAAGCTGCGCAAGACCGTCGTTATCGCACTGTTGCAGCCGTCACCGGAGGTGTTCGCGCTGTTCGACGATGTGATGATCCTGAACGAGGGCCAGCTCATGTACCACGGACCCTGCAACAAGGTGGAGGAGTACTTCGAGTCTCTCGGCTTCAAGTGTCCGCCTCAGCGCGATATTGCCGACTATTTGTTGGATCTGGGCACACGCGAGCAGTACCAGTACCAGGTCGAACGTCCGACCAAGCAGCCGCGACGTGCGATCGAGTTCGCCGATGCGTTCCGCGAGTCTCGCATCTACCAGGAGTCATTGTACGCTCTAGAGGCTCCATATGACCCGGAACTTCTGCAAAGTGTCGAGAAGAACATGAAGCCGATGCCCGAATTTAGCCAGACTTTCGTCAACAGCACTCTGACGCTGCTGCGACGTCAACTCACCATCACGTACCGCAACAAGCCGTTCATCTTCGGCCGTGTACTGATGATCGCAGTCATGGGTCTGCTGTTCTGTACGGTCTTCTACGACTTCGACCCGACCGAAGTTTCGGTCGTGCTGGGTGTCGTCTTCTCTTCCGTCATGTTCCTGTCCATGGGTCAGTCGTCGCAGATCCCGACGTACATGGCCGAACGTGAAGTCTTCTATAAGCAGCGAGGAGCCAACTTCTTCCGGACAGCGTCGTACGTGCTGGCCACATCGGCCAGTCAAGTTCCGCTGGCGCTGGTCGAGACGCTTATTTTCGGGTCGCTGGTGTACTGGTTGTGCGGCTTCGAGTCCGAGTTCCAACTGTTCCTGATCTTCGAGTTCGTGCTTTTGCTGATGAACCTGGCCATGGGAATGTGGTTCTTCTTCTTGAGTTCCGTTGGACCGAACGAGAACGTCGTCACGCCTTTGGGTATGGTGTCCGTGCTGGTGTTCATTATCTTCGCCGGCTTCATCGTAACCAAGAGTCAGATCCCGGACTACCTCATCTGGGCTCACTGGATCAGTCCCATGACCTGGAGTATCCGAGCACTGTCTATCAACCAGTACCGGTCGGACAACATGGATGTGTGCGTCTACGACGGTATCGACTACTGTGCGGACTACGGCATGACCATGGGCGTGTACTACCTGGACCTGTTCGGCATCGAGACTGAGAAGTACTGGATCGTGTACGGTATCATCTACTCGCTTGCGATCTACGTTCTCTTCATGGTCATGTCCTTCCTTGGACTGGAATATCTGCGCTACGAAGCTCCTGAAAATGTCGACGTGTCCGAGAAGCCGATCGAAGACGACGAATCGTACGCGATGCTTAAGACCCCCAAGAACGCTAGATCCACGGAGGCGACTGGAGACTACGTTGTGGAGCTGGACAACCGCGAGAAGAACTTCACCCCCGTGACTATGGCGTTCGAGGATCTTCACTACTTTGTGCCGAACCCCAAGAACCCAAGCGAACAGCTTGAGCTTCTTAAGGGTATCAACGGATTCGCTGTGCCTGGTACGATCACTGCACTTATGGGCTCATCGGGTGCAGGCAAGACGACGCTGATGGATGTCATTGCTGGCCGTAAGACTTCGGGTAAGATCACGGGCAAGATCCTGTTGAACGGCTATGAGGCGACCGACCTCGCTATCCGTCGTTGCACGGGCTACTGCGAGCAGATGGACGTACACTCGGAGGCTGCTACCATTCGTGAAGCTTTAACCTTCAGCTCTTTCCTGCGTCAAGACGCGTCAATCCCGGACGCCAAGAAGTACGACTCGGTGAATGAATGTATTGAGCTTCTTGGTCTGGAAGACATCGCCGACCAGATCATCCGTGGCAGCTCAGTTGAACAGATGAAGCGTCTGACGATCGGCGTGGAGCTTGCTGCTCAGCCGAGTGTGATTTTCCTGGATGAACCGACAAGTGGATTGGATGCTCGTTCGGCCAAGATTATCATGGACGGTGTTCGCAAGGTGGCCGACTCAGGCCGTACCATTATCTGTACGATCCACCAGCCGTCATCCGAAGTGTTCTACCTGTTCGACAGTCTGTTGTTGCTCAAGCGTGGTGGTGAGACCGTGTTCTATGGTGAATTGGGCTCGAAGTGCCGCAACCTGATTGACTACTTTGAGGGAATTCCTGGTGTGTCTCCGCTGCCGAAGGGCTACAACCCGGCCACGTGGATGCTCGAGTGCATTGGCGCTGGCGTAGGCAACACGGCTGCGGACAGTACCGATTTCGTTGACTACTTCCGGAACAGTTCACTGAACCGTGCACTGGTGGCCAACATGGCTAAGGAAGGTATCACTGTGCCGTCGCCGGATCTTCCAGAGATGGTATACACAGAGAAGCGTGCGGCCGATTCCAAGACGCAGATGAAGTTTGTGGTGTGGCGTTTTATTCAAATGTACTGGCGTACGCCCAGCTACACTCTGACACGCATGTACCTGGCGCTGTTCCTGGCTGTGGTTTTCGGTCTTATCTTCGTGGACGTGGACTATGCTTCCTACTCTGGTCTCAACTCGGGCGTCGGTATGGTGTTTGTCGCTGCGCTCTTCCAGGCTATGATGACTTTCCAGAGTGTCCTCCCGTTGGCCTGTTCCGAGCGTGCTTCGTACTACCGTGAGCGCGCGGCCCAAACATACAACGCGTTGTGGTACTTCGTTGGATCGACGCTGGCTGAGATCCCGTACTGCTTCATCAGTGGAGCCCTCTTTACTGTCGTTTACTACCCCTTTGTTGGCTTTACGGGTTTTGGAACGGGCGTGCTTTTCTGGCTGGCGATTTCGCTCATGGTGCTCATGCAAGTGTACATGGGTATGATGTTCGCCTACGCGATGCCAAGCGAAGAAGTTGCGGCCATTATCGGTTTACTTTTCAACGCTATTTTCATGATGTTTATGGGCTTCAGCCCTCCAGCGTACTCCATTCCATCGGGCTACACGTGGTTGTACAAGATCTCGCCTCTGAGATTCCCGCTATCGATCATGGAGGCTCTGGTTTTCGCCGACTGCGACGAATTGCCGACCTGGAACAACGCCACGCAGTCATACGAGAACGTTGGCTCCCAGTTAGGCTGCCAACCAATGGCAGACTCGCCTGCGACGGTCGGCCACATCACGATCAAGGAGTACACGGAGCAATATTTTGGTTTCGAGCATGACGACATCACCCGCTACTTTTTCGTGGTCATCGGGTGCATCATTCTGTTCCGCATCCTCGGACTCATTGCGCTGCGCTACATCAACCACCAGAAGCGGTAAGCGATCGACAGGGTCAGGTGCAGTCGGCCTGCATTTCAAAGTTTTTTTTTCATACCTACAAAATACACTTTTTTTTCTGCATCTTATTCCAATGATATTTTGTTTACCGACGGTTCGAGGCACCGTATCATGAACAAAACGAAGGATTCAGCTCGATTCAAGACAAAGTGGCCATAAACTCCTATCCTGATACAGAGCTAGCTGGAAACTCTGGATTCAAAGCGGTCAGCCAACTGCGGTATTACGGGGTAACGAGCAAAGAGTGCTTCGCCTACGTTGATGGCATGGATTCACTCGATCGATCGCAGGATCGAAACGATCTGAAGTCTGAAGGAGCATCATCTCGATTGTGGCAGGCTTTTTGGAATTGGGCCACCTGGTCAGTGTGTCAGCGGGGTTTGCCATCAACAACGTGCTACCCGGCCATGCGCCCCTCGTTTTTGTTATGTTCTGGACTGTTGGCTCCTCCATCCTCTGCATAGTTTCAGGCGTAAATCGCCCTCTATATCGCGATGACCGGAGCCATTACAGCTCATGTGGTGCTGGCCATAATCGACAAATCCACTAGCAGCTTGCCTCGCGTGACGAGCTTCTGATCACAAGAGTAACAACTGCTCCACACGCGATTGGGTCAAAGGCAAACGAACTAGTGCATGTACATGAGTTTGCTTCGTGATGGCTTTCGTGCAACAGCGACCTTGTTCCGAGTTTAGAGAGGTACAACATATCCAAATGCGGTCACCACAGATTCGGCAACATTACCGGTACCTGCGATATTTTCGATGATGGCAACTCGCTTCTATTTTCGGCGCCAGAGTAAGCCCTACACCTAGCTTGATGATGGCGCTGTTGCCTTATTTCTGGCAAAAATATCAATTTGCCACATCTAACGACTAACAGACTCTGGCTTGAAACTGAAGTTTCCATGCCAGAAATGAGCCCATCTCGCCACGCATTACCGCCAAAAACGTCAATTCGCCTAGCGATACACCCGCAAACAGCTGTGACTTGCTTATGGCCACATCAACATGTCCAAGCAGCACCGTTTACCCGCTCTACGCTAACATCATCAATTGCCCCCGTACAATGCTGCACACGCTGTGTCTGTTCGTCCACCCCCTCGTTTGACAGTTCCTCTCCGCTGCCAGTCTCACTCACTTTCCATTCTTCTGCTCAGCACCCAAGCAGCTCAGCAGCACTCGACATGGAACTCTCGACACAGCCGTCGCCGACCACGGCCAAGAAGCTCGGCCTTGAGTCCGGCCAGGCCCTCATGGCCGAGGGTCCGCAGGTCCTGCACGAGTATGTGGCCTCCAAGATTGGCGCCGCTATGGGCCGCGCCATGCCACAGATGGACGTTCGCTTCAGCAACCTGTCAGTCAGCGCCGACATCGTGGTGGTGGACGACCCGGGTGTCAAGCACGAGCTGCCGACCATCCCGAACACCATGAAGAAGGCGTTTGTAGGCCCCAAGAAGCGCGTCGTGCGCAA